CCCCCCTTGAAAGAAAAGAAAGCATAAAGAAAAGAGAGGAAAGGAGATAGATAGGATAGAAGGGAGAATAATGGAAATTGATCGGAACGCAGACAGAAGCAAGTCAAGCCAAGCCAGGGCGAGATATCATAGTATTAGACCGTCCATGAGCACAAAAACTCCAGTATCACATCGTTGTACATTAGTCGATTTCAAGCTTTTTCTCTTTGTGTCATCTCCATATCACGTCGCGGGGAGAAAGATAGGGAGGGTAGTTAGAGGAATTGTGAGGACTGATCAGTAGGTGGCGTTTTGCATTGAAACCTCTAGATTAGCCTGATTATTGGCCGTGTCGCTGTCGGCTTGAGCGGGCGTGGATGATTTTTGTGGTTGATTTTGTAGCTGGGCCTCGGCAACTTTGAGCTTCTCCCGCGCTTCGTCGAGTTCCTGCTTCAGGGCCTTGATGTAATCGATGGCCATCTCAACAGTGCTCGCTTTACTGATCGCCTGGTTGCTGCTCTTTTCCTTCTCTTTGTCCTTCTCGGCCTTGGGAGTGCAGCTGCCGCTTTCCTTGGCGCTTCGGCTGGTTGCGAATCCCGGAGGCAATAGCGCCTCGATCTCCTTTAGGGCGTTATTGATACGGTTTCTCCGACCCTGCTCGGCTAGCTTGTGGTTCGTGCGTTTGGAACTGAGGTTCTCGGCAAGCGTATCAGGGTACGATACTCCAGGAAGAAGGGTACCATCAAGGATGTGCTGGTAGTTCGACTTGGATGCGAGATACAACGCAGACGCTTCGCTTGTGATGCCTATGCATAAAGACTTAGACGCGGCAAGAAGGAAGAAAGACGTAAAACAGAGGATATGTGTATGCGAAAAAAAAGAGTGCTTACCATCGCCGCGAACAGAGGGCTGGATACTGGGACTAATCTTGGGGCGCAACGGCGGACTCATTTGTGAGGAGCTCATGCTTTGGCGTTTACGAGACATCCCCGGCTTTAGGGAGTCGGATTTCTTCGCAACAGGTCCACTTGGCGAAGGCATCGCTAATGTGCGTGGACTGGGCGCGACAGATCCAGGGGTGCGATCACCAACGAAACCAGACCTAGACTCGATGGAGGGGGTTACACTGGCAGAGATGATTGGACTCGCGCTCTCTGTAGCCATCGTCGTTTCGATCCGGGCGAGCTTAGGGCGCGGCTGGATCGCCGGCGTGGCTGCTTCAGGTAGTACAATGTCCTCCATGATGTCGTCATGTGTTTCTTCTGAAATGAGGCCTGCCTGGCCGGAGAATTGGGTGGGGGAGCTCTGTACAAGAGGCGTGCGTTGGATACGCATCAGCGTAGCGGGGGTTGCGGCCTCATTGCTTCGCGTGGCCGCAGTTTGCGGAACGATTGCGGGCGACGGGCGGGACTGGGGTAGCGCCGGGGGCGGCATCAAAGGCTCTGACAGCGGTTCTGGGGAGACCGAGTCCTGGCCCGAACTTTCATTGCTGCCATAGCGAAGCGAACTGCCGCTGTTGGCCGCGATCCTGCTGCTCCCCGGTTCCTGAACGAGGCCGCCGAGGATATCTTCATTTATATTCAAGAGAGATTTCTTTCGAGACTGTGGGCGAACCAAGGGCGATTGTTTGGCTCCTCTGTTAGTGAGCCTCTTATTTGTGGACGGCTGTCGACGGTGCTTTCTCAAAATACCGGGGGATGAGGGGGCGGAAGAGACGGGGATGGGATTAACATCCACGGGGGACGGGACGAAGCCCACATCGGAGACCTGTCGAGCGAAGGGATAGCCATTGGCACCGGGGTTCTGGGCCTCGAGCGCTGGGGAAGTCAGGGGAGTGAAGTATTCGCCAGGAATCGTATACTCGGGGAGCCTGAATTGAGTCTCCAGTGGGGTCATGGCTGGTGAAATGAGTGGGGTGTAGAGCGCCTGTACGTACATAAAGGCAATGAGTGTAAGTAAGCATTATAACGGTGGTATCCAATTGAGCAGCTAAGCAAGGAATAACAATCAAACACAGACCTGTTCTTCGTTGATATGCGCGTACCGATCGTACATATCCTGGCTCTCCTCGACTCGCTGCGTGAACCGAGCGGCGCCCCCATGGAGCTCGATACTGTTGGGTGTGGGTGGAATGATGGTCTGCCCTGAGGCATAGTGTTGCTGCTGGCTGGGCGGATGTGAGTGCGGCGGAGGCTCCTGCGCGTAAAATCCAGGGGTCATGCCTGGGTTGCTATAAGCGGGATGCATCTGGGCCTGCTGCGGCTGGGAGTGAGCAGCGCGTTGCTGCATCTCCAAGGACAGACCGCCCATCATCTGGCCAAAAGGCGAGGGGTGTGAAGTGGGAACAGTCTCCATGCGTACGAGCTCCTCAGCAGTCGTCGTAGGCATCGTGACAGCCGCATTCGGCAGGGATCGCTGCTGTCGCTCGTGCCCCTCAATATCGGCGAAGTTCATGCCAAACTCCAGGAAATGGGTAAAATCCTCATCGCTGGGACCAGGGATGAGCGACTGCTCATGGAGCTGCTCCGGCCATGGTAAGGAACCCCCTTGATCCATTGCTGCTGCGGTCGGTCGGGGAGGAATAAAGAAAAAAAAAACCACCGCCTGCTCTCTCTAACGAACGATCTCAGCAGTGTGGGGGGGGGGAAGAGAGGTGGGAGGGAAAACCGAGGCGAGAAAAAGACAAATACGAATCTTCCGATAGGGTGTAAAAGAGCCACCGGGCGATCAAGAAGCACCCTGAAGGCGAGCGGTGCTGTGGGGGAGCAACGATTGCAAGAGCTGGATTCACCAAGACGTCGTTGGGGTGTTCATGACTGGAACCCGCTCTAGGCCGGGGTCGGAGCAAGCGTACGATAAGGAATTATTCACGGCAATTGAGACAGTAAAATCTGGAGAGAGGCAGGCAGCCAAGGTGAAGCTGGATGAGACAAGACGGTGAATGCCCGTCAGACAACAACAAGTGACAGACTCGGGACGCAGCCTGGCCTAGAAGTCTTTTCGAGGGTGGGAAGAATAGGGCGGGATACCGCTGGTACGGAGGATTGGCTCGTTAGCGGCAGTTCGCCTCTTTAGCTGCATGGAACTGCTGCAGTGGCTGCGCAAGAGCTGTGTTCTTTCGTTGTTCTTTTCTTCTATCTTGCTATAGTACAGCTCTCCCCCTCCCCCTATTATTCTGCTTCCTTGTCTATATTCCTCTCCCTCGCTCTGCACCGCTGCGTCTCGACCCTCCGCCGACCCTCCGCCGGTGCCTGCCTGGAAAACCCTTCCGTCTCCAGGCGGGCACCTTCCTGTTCGGGCAAGCCCGAAGTCCCCACCGGACAAACGTTGCTCCGAGGCATTTTTCCGCGCCTGCTGCGCTTCACCCGGAAAGTGCCCCTCAAACAAGCTCAGAAGGCTGGCTGGGCGAGTCAGGCAGACTCCAGGCTGAGGAAGAGGTCGGCCTTGGGATTGGAGGAGGGCGAGAGTCTGTCTGCCACACCCCCCGGCAGATATAACGAGGTATTTGAGGGGGGGTTAACTGCCAGAGGCTGTGTGTGCCGATAGGGAAGAGTGCGTGTGTGTTGGGCAGACTGCAGATGACTGGGCCCCGTCATACAGTCTACCTAGGTAGGACCAACCATGGCTGGGGATAGTCGTCTGCTGATGGTCTGGCGATGCTTTCTAAGCGAATAGCTTGGATTTGGGTGGGTGTTGGTACAGAGTAGTTTGGGTTTGTGTAGTGCGTACAGTGTACAGTGCACCTAACGAGTACGTACTACGTGCCTATCTAGCTTCCCAACGGTTGTTGGACTTCCCACAACTCATCCTCCATCACCACACATGCTGTTAGTCGTTCTCCCAGATGAGGAGGCTTTCTGAAGCTTATTTCATTTACCTCCTATCGATTTCTCTCGAACCATGCGTCCTCCTGTGCCCGATCTTTGCCCGCCGCGGTCTCGCAAGTCGTCCCTTGAGCAGCCTGTCCCACCATGGGCTGACCCCCGCACCGCCGCCCCCGCGACGTTTTTCCTGACACGCGACCAGGACCAAGGCCAGGAGCAGGAGCAGGAGCAGGACTACTTGTCGTCCCCCGAAGGCGGCGATGTCTCCAGTCAGAGCAGTATGTACGGGGTGCAGAGTCTGGAGGAGACGGTCCAGCACGCCCAGTTCGACCCGGCGGCGGCCCAGTGCGGGGAGTTCGATAAGGACATCCCCGGTGACGTCGACAACACCGATTTTCAAAGAGAAGAGGACAAAGGAAGCGAAGAGACCCTGCGGTCTGCGAGGCGGAGGTCGACGCTGAAACCGTTGACTGTTCTCGATTCCAAACAAAATTTGTCGTCGTCGCAGCAGCGGCCACCCTCTGATCTGCCCTCGTCCCGCCCGCTTACCCCGCTCACTTTCAACAATCCGGACGACCCTTTGTCTCTACCCAGCAGCCCCAAGTCGCTGTCAAATCAGTCTCTCAAACCCCTGGATGATATCTCGCTGGCCGATGATCTGAGTAGCCAGGCGGTTGGGTCGGGTGAAGAGGAAGACGAGGATGCAGGCCACACGTCAAACGCGTGGCCAGATCGCAGCTCCCAGCTGATTATGCCCAGCATCAGAATGCCCACTCGGCGACCATTTACCGAAAGGGGCAGAGCTATGGGTCGCTTCAAGATTCTTCTGGCCGGGGCTCCTGGTGAGTTTGTTCTCTTAGAATTTTCAACCCGGGAAGGGGGGATCCAGTTAACTCCGTATAGGCACCGGGAAAACGTCGCTCATCAAGTCGATCGTGCAAGCCTGCGAAGAAATCGTACATGTCGATCCCTTTCCCCCTCCGGGACTTGACCGTCCACGCCGTCGGGCGTTTGGGCCGGACATCAAAGACAAGCCTTCCCGCGGTAGAACGACCGCTGCCCTTTCAGAAATCTACGCAAGCACAAAGCCGTATCCCCCTTGGTGGTCCGACCTGGAGGATTCGCGCGTCCTACGAAGAAGAAAAAGCATTGGGGATGCTATTCTCGAACGTAACTTGTGCTTTGTCGACACTGCAAGGATCACCACCAGCCAGCATGATCAGACTGACAGGGTTACCGAGTACATGCACCAGCAGCTCGGCCGGGCCACAACCTCTTTTCAATCAATGGATGTGGATTTCCAGAACTTACTCGCTGGAAATGGCGGCTCCCAAGTGGATGCCATTCTCTATCTAATCGCCGAGGGTACGTATAGTCCTGACTAGAAAGAAAGAAAGAAAGAAAGAAAGAAAGAAAGAACCTCTACTTACTGACCCGCTATTAGATACACTGACCACCGACATCGAGTGTATTCAAAAGCTTTCTGATCAAACGAATGTCATTCCGGTCATCGCCAAGGCCGACCTTCTCCCTCCAAACCGGATTAGCTCTCTCAAATGGTCTTTCCACAAACAAGCGCGAAGAGCCGGGGTCAGGCCGTTCCTCTTCGGGACATTGCCAGCCGATGGACCCGGCGAGCTTGACCCTGTCTCCCCCTTTGCCGTCTCGTCGGCCCATTCGAGCGATGAAGATAATATGGATGCAAGCGTGCTGATGAGCCCGGACTACGTCCAGCCTCTAGCACCATCCGAGCTCGGCGTGCTAGTCGAGAATCTCTTCGACCGCGACAACATGGCCTGGATGCGTCATTCTGCAGCGAAAAAGCTCGCCCACTCTGACAAACGCACGACTTCCCCACGAAGCTCCCCGGTCTACATTCCCGGCAGCGTAACAGAACTGACATCTCCCACCACTCCATCAGTCTACTCCTCTTTCTCTCTTTCCGATCCCTTCGCGGGCGGGTCACCAAGCTACACCATGGCCCGCATCACCGACTACACGTACCATGAAGAGAAACTCGCTCGGGTCCGTCTGGCCAAGTGGGCCGCCGACCTCCAGCGCAGCCTGCAGAACGAGCGGGACCGCTACGCCGCGCTGGCCCGTGGCGAGCGCGCCGTCTGGCTAACAGAGAGACTTGGCGAGTGTGTTATCGAGGGTACCCTCCTCCCCATCACCCAGACTGGACTACGTTCTCCTGCTACTTCTGCAACCCTCCTTGTCCGATCCCGATCCCCTCCCACAGGCTCTACAAACACATACACCCCCGCTTCTCCTCCTCCTCCTCCTCCTCCTCCTTCTCTCATTACTACTACTAGCCAACTCGACCCGCTAGGCTTAGTCGGCTGGTTAGACGATCTCCAACGGCGCGGGTGGCAGGTCGTGCAGATCGTGGGCAGCTTCGGCCTCGTCGGCGGGCTGGCGCTGTGGCTCGCCCGGACGTGGGGGGTGTCGCCTTCGTCGCGTTTAACGGAGTGGCGCTTTGACTGTTGACCAGTAATTAGCTAACTACTTGCCCACTACTCAGTAGTTACCAGTAAACCAAGTCTCACTTCACACCTTTTTTTTCCCCTTATCTATCTACAAGGCTGGCGTGGAAATTCCTTGTACGGCGTTCAAAACGGCGTTGAATCGGCATTGGTACCATGGTGTTGAGGCGTACAAGACTGGATTCTTCTTTATTCTGGAGGATTAGGATTGCTCAACTACCGTCTATCTAGTACCTACATAGGTACTCCGTACGCTGTAACTAGGAATAGATTCAAAGTCCCGACTTCTCTAGTTCTACAAGCAACCTAGTCTACGAAAAGAAAAAAAGGTGTAAGCTGATAAGTTCATGACTAGATCTAGCTAGACTTCAGGAGTCACCGAAGATTTATTGAGAAACGCTCAAAACGCCGGTGGGAAAAGGATCACATTTCGTAAGCAAAGAACTAGAATTCTTTTTGTTTTCCCGGGCAAGGAAGAAATCAATCTGTTTCAAATCTCTGATCCAGAATGGTTCTATTTTGCCGAAGCCGGAAACAGTCTAGAATAAAAGGGAATTCGTTAAAAAAAGATAAAAAGAGGACCAAACGTTGTTACATATCATCAGGAAAAAAGGCACGAGGAGAGAAAGCAAGGCAAACATTTAGTCAACCTCCTCCATGGCGCTCTCGCCGGTAACCTCGGCGGTGACGGGCTCCTCGGCAGGCTTGTCCTCGGGGACCTCAGCTTCCTCATCAATGTTGAGGCCGAGGGAGACGAGCTTGTGGATGCGCTCAGAGAAGCTGGCGGGCTCATCGATGGTGAAGCCGGAGACAAGGAGGGAGGTCTCGAAGAGGAGCTGGGTGATGGACTTGACGGTGCGGTCGTTCTCGCCGTCAGTCTCGACCTTCTTCTTGAGCTCCTTGATGATGGGAGACTTGGGGGAGATCTCAAAGGTCTTCTTGGAAGACATGTAAGAGCTCATGGAGGTGTCACGGAGGGCCTGGGCCTTCATGATACGCTCCATGTTGGCGGACCAACCGAACTGGCCGGTACGGATAGCGCAGGGGGCGCCGACGAGCTTGTGGGAGACGACGACCTTCTCGACCTTTTCGCCGAGGATGTTCTTCAGGCTCTTGGCCAGGTCCTCGAACTCCTTCTCCTCCTTCTCACGCTCGGCCTTCTCCTCCTCGGTCTCCTCGAGCTCGAAGTCCTTGGTGATATCGACAAGCTTCTTGCCATCGAACTCCTTGAGCTGGGTGAAGGCGTACTCGTCAATGGGGTCGACGAGGAAGAGAACCTCAAAGTCCTTCTGCTTGAGGGTGTCAAGGAAGGGGGACTTGGCGACAGCCTTGATGGACTCGCCGGTGATGTAGTAGATCTGCTTCTGGTGCTCCTGCATGCGAGTGACGTAGTCGGTGAGGGAGGTGGCCTCGTCACCAGACTTGGTCGACTGGAAGCGCAGAAGCTTGGCCAGAGCCGGGCGGTTCTGAGCATCCTCGTGGATACCGAGCTTGATGTTCTTGCTGAAGGCCGAGTAGAACTTGTCGAACTGCTCGCGGTCCTCGGAGATCTCCTGGAAGAGCTCAAGGGTCTTCTTGACGATGTTCTTCTTGATGACCTTCATGATCTTGTTCTGCTGGAGGGTCTCACGAGACAGGTTGAGGGGCAGATCTTCGGAGTCGACGACACCCTTGATGAAGCTGAGCCACTCGGGGATGAGGTCGGTGGCATCGTCGGTGATGAAGACACGGCGGACGTAAAGCTTGATGTTGTTCTTGGTCTTCTTGGTCTCGAACAGGTCGAAGGGAGCGCGCTTGGGGATGAAGAGGACGGCGCGGAACTCGAGCTGACCCTCGACGGAGAAGTGCTTGACAGCCAGGTGGTCCTCCCAGTCGTTGGACAGCGACTTGTAGAAGGCGGCATACTCCTCCTGGGTGATGTCGGCCGGGTTGCGGGTCCAGATGGGCTTGGTCTTGTTGAGCTCCTCCTCCTCGATCTTGGACTCCTTGATCTTCTTGGTCTTCTTCTCCTTCTTCTCCTCCTCCTCGTCATCGACCTCCTCGATCTTGGGCTTCTTCTCCTCGCCCTCCTCCTCGACCTTGGTCTCCTCCTCGGCGTCCTCGTCAGGGACCTCCTTCTCGGTCTCCTTCAGGACGTGGAGGTAGATGGGGTAGGAGATGAACTCGGAGTGCTTGCGGACGACCTCCTTGATGCGGCTCTCGTTGAGGTAGTCAAGCTGCTCCTCCTTGAGGTGGAGGATGATCTTGGATCCACGGCCCAGGGGCTCGCCCTCGGTGTCCTGGGTCAGGGTGAAGGTACCGCCGGCGGCGGACTCCCAGATGTACTGCTCGTCATCGTTGTGCTTGGAGATGAAGGTGACCTTGTCGGCCACGAGGTAGGCAGAGTAGAAACCGACACCGAACTGACCGATCATGGAGATGTCGGCACCGGCCGTCAGAGCCTCCATGAACTGCTTGGTACCGGAGCGGGCAATCGTACCCAGGTTGTTGATCAGGTCCTAAATAATTAGCAAAAAAGGGCTTTTTTTTCGATATGATTTAAGAAGAAAAGAAAAAAAAAAAAAACACGTACAGCCTTGGTCATACCGATACCGGTATCCCGGATGGTGAGGGTCTTGTTCTCCTTGTCGGGGATGATATCAATGCGGAGGTCCTTGCACGAGTCGAGCTTGGAGGGGTCCGAGAGGGACTCATAGCGGATCTTGTCGAGAGCATCCGAGGCATTGGAAATGAGTTCTCGCAAAAAGATCTCCTTGTTCGAGTAGACAGTGTTGATAATCAGCGAGAGCAGCTGAGAAATCTCAGCCTGGAACTCAAAGGTTTCCGCAGACATGATGAATGATTCTGTAGTGAGGGGTTAATTAGCACACCGCCGCTTTCAGGTGTAGAAGAAGCAACAAGACCAACAAGACAACACTCACAGAGTAAACTATGGAAAAAGAGGGAATGCAAATCGTGACTTCGGAAATCAGGGGGGAGAGAATATGGGAGGATGAGAAAAGAGTAGAGAGATGAGAGAGATGTGGAGGGGGGGAAAGAAGAAAGCAGCGGGCCGACCTTTAAGGCTTAAAAGCCTCTGCGAGCCAAATTTGCTGGTGCGGCGTTTCTACGGCAATCCAGCGTCTTCCACCGCGTTCCGCCCTGCGTTTGGCCAATGGGCGGTGCGGATGGAGGACCTCCGCCTTTCTTGTTTCCAGGTGATTCTAGCCAAGTGATACAATCGAAGATTACTCCTGTAGTCAGTGAAGGAATTAGAGTCAGCCGGTTGAATTATTGTTGTTAGTAGGGGGAGCGAACAGCCAAGCCTGCCTGGTAGTTCTTTAGGTGTAGATAGATTCGATATAACTACCTAAGAACAGTACAAGAACATATCTGCCTAGAGAGGTATATTCAATAGTAGTAGTAGAGTAGTAGCTAGTTACTTAGTACTTATATCGGTAGTATGTAAGGAGCTATGGTTAAATTAAGACTTGATGTGATAGGTAGCTCAGCTGTATCCATGCATGCTGACTGGAACTTGACTGCATTAACTACCTAGGTAGTAGAAAAGCACAGATAGAATCACATGGCCATGGACAAGACCATAGAGGCCAGGAAATTATAGGTACTAATAGCTTTATTACTGTCTAGGATCATACACTCTTAGACTGATGATGTAAGTATCAACACTGCTAGACAATGACGGTCTATGCAGAAGAAACTCGAAATGATTCGAAAGGAATACCTCGAAAGAGTCAAGGGCAAAAATAAAAGAAGGGATTGATGAAAGAAACCATAAATCATGCAGAACCAAGGCGTATGAAGCTGCCAGCAAAGGATGAATCATCAGATGATACAAGGGAAATATAACTTTTCCAACCGCTGGAATTTATGCACGGCGACAAAGGAAAAGGTCACATAACACATGTCATTATAGAGAGCAGAGGAATAAGAAGAAGAAGAAGAAGAAGAAGAAAATAAGAAAGATAAAAAAAGATAGGGAAGTTAGAGTAATACATGTCCGTCCGGGGTGTTCGTAGGACAAAAGAACCCGTTCTGTACCGACCGAAAAGGGAGGCTAATAAATCATGCAAAGAAAAGAAAAATCTCCAAGGGAAGAAAAAAAAAAACATCTCTCTCTTTTAAATTCCTTTTTTGGGTTTGTTCATTTCAAAAACTTTGCTTAAGCAGTCTGCGGTTGGGTGCGGCCCTTAGGGGTGACGTTCCCTCCACGGCCACGGGGAGCAAAGCCACGGCCACCATCGCGTTGGAAGCCGCCGCGGCCCTGGCTACCCGCCCGGTCTCCACGGCCACGGCTGGCACCGCCGCGACCAGGGCCATAGCTGGCGTTGCCAAAGACGTTGGCGCGAGGGCGGCGCTCCTCGACGTAGATCTGCTCGGTGCCGATCTGGTGGGGGTTAGCGGCAACAGCCGCGTTGTAGCCGGCGGGATCGGCGAACTCGACAAAGGCGCAGTTCTAGCAAGTCAGTCATCTTTCGAAACTGTCTGAAATAAAACCAAAAAAGGGGTATTTTTTTCCCTTACCTTCTGGCGGCTCACATCAAAGTACTTGAGCTTGCCGAAGCGAGACAGAACCTGGCGGAGCAGGGTGGCATCCACCTTCTCAGTGACGTTCTTGATGTAGGCGAGAACGTTCTGCTCCTCTCCCGCACGGGCCTGCGTCTTCTTGTTGTCCGCACCGGCGGTCTGCCAGCCGGAATTGTCGTTAGTGGCATCCTGGCTAGAGCCAGTCTCGGCGGCGGCGGCGGCAGGAGCAGCAGCAGGAGCAGGGGCAGGAGCAGCAGCAGCAGTGGTTGTGGAGGTGGTGGCAGCGGCCACGGCAGCCACGGCAGCAGCGGGGGTGACAGTAACGGGCTGAGAAGAGCTGGCAACCGGAGTAGCCTTAGGAACAGAGACGGGGATAGCAGGCACGGCAGGGGCGGCACCACCGATCTTGGAGGCAATGGTTGCCCAGGTCTTGGGAACGGCTCTGGCAGGAGGAGCAGCCTCCTTCTCGGGAGCGGGGGCTTCCTTCTGGGCCGGCTCCGCAGGGGTAGGCTCCGGGGTGGCGGTCGTCTCCTCCTTCAGCTCCTCGGCTTCCTCCACGGGGGCGGGGGTAGCCTCGGTCTCCTCAGAAGCCGGAGCAGCATCGGCGGTCTCAGAAACGGCCTCCTGGGGCTGCTGTTCCTCCACAACTTCGCCGTTGGTCTCGGCCTCCTCCAGCTTCTTGTCCACCTGGACGGCAGCGACTTCGGTGTCGGCCTGAGTAGCTGCGGCCTCAGGAACGGCCTTCTCCACCGTCTCCACGGCAGCCTCGGGGGCCTCGCTGGCAGGAGCCTCAGCCTCTGGAGCGGCAGTCTCTTCGGGAGCGAGGTCCTCCTCCTCGTCGACGAGGTATCTGAAGATATCGTTCAGGACGTAATAACCGTTAGGCTGCTCGGCCAACACAAAGGTCTGCACGAATTTGCGGGAGGGCTCGGACTTGTTGGAGATCTCACCGATCACCGAGACAAGGATGTTGTCGAAGGAGGCCTGTGAGTCGACGTTCAGGACGCGGACCTTGCAGTCTTGGAATTCGAGCTGCTTGATCCTCTCATTGATGGCCTGCAAGAGAGCTTATTAATCACTGCCAGACTTCAGACGGATTATTATTATTTTTTTACCTTTTGTCCCACAGAAACGAGAACGGGCTCGGCTTCAGTACCGAAGACCAGCTGGGACCGTCGGGAATAGAACAGGTGCAGCTTCTCAGGGCTGCGGCTCATGGTAGTGTAGAACTGCTCCACGAAGAACCAGCCGACCTCATCCTTCGAGATGTCACCTTTCTGTTCAGGCGTAGCGTTTGTCGGGGTAGACGACTGTGCAGGCTGGAAGTTGGCGACGGAGCCACCGTGTGCGGGATTGAAAGGTTCAGGGAACGCTTGCTGCGCGGGATAGGTGCCGTTCATCGCAGTCTGAGTCGTGTCGGCCATGATGGATTCGTGAAATAGAAGAAGAAGAGAAGAAGAAGAAGAAGAAGAAGAAGAATATTCGGAACGGCTGGATATGGAGGGAGATATGGACAGCAGGAAAAGACGCTTTTATGCAGAGCCGATACAGCAAATCTAAACTTTTCCCTCGCTGACTATGCCCGCTAGATTAGCGACTGGTGTCAAAAGTGTCGTTGAGGCTGTCTATACACCTCTGGAGAACCCAAGACTCACAATGCTCAATGGAAAAGGATACAAATAAGACAAGGGAGAAGGGAAAAAGCCGGTGTGATTTTCGAAAAGCAGAGGCGAGCGTCGTGCGGTCGAGGGTGGAGAGGAATGATCTGTGCGATTTTTGCCAGAGAGGTTTCGCGGTGGGCAAGAGACGAAAAAAAAAAAATTAGAACTGAAGACAGAGGTCGCGTAGCGAGCAAGGATAAATTGTAGATGAGCAGAAGGGGGATTAGAGAATTGTAGGAGAAATAAATTCCTTGCAGAGGAAGATGGAGGGGGATGAAGGAGGTCAAGAGCACCAGAAGTGAGAGAGAGCTTCTTCTGGTGCAAATTCGCCTTCTGCAGAGTCCGTCCTGGTCTCGGTGCGGGTGCGGGCGGTTCCTAGCGCCAAGCCAGCATTCACTATGCGCTTCACTGCTTATTATTTCTACTGAACGATTCTAGTGGTTAATTATGTTATAAATAGTGAAGAGAGAGAGAAATTTAATTATAATTGAGGCAAATAATCTAAAGAAAGAGAGGGGGGAGAGAGAGAGAGACGACTGCTACAATCTTGGACAAGCCTTATAAAAGACCCGACAAGACAACCCGCAACGAATTCAATGTACAATTACATTGCTGGAATCAATTCGGTATCTATAGACAGGGCAAAGCGGAACAGGGTAACTCTAAATCACAGTATCACATATCAACATAGAGGACAACATCAGGAAAAACCGAAAACCATAACAACCAAATATAATATACGATAGACATGAGACAAACGAAATAGAGAGAATCATCAAGTTGAGGCCGAGGGGTATGGCAGTGAGTGAGTGCATGAGGCGAAGTGTTTGAGACTCGTTCCGAGCAAGAGAAGCAAGGAGACGAACCAGCCGCCTAAGCGACCGGCTCGGCGGCAGGCTTCTCATTCAGCGGCTTGCGCATGACAGCGTCCTGGCCCGTCATTCTGCGACCAAGAGCCCGTTCGACCTTGGCGCTCAGGGCCAGCTTGCTGAGGCTCTCTGACTTCTCGGGCGTCGGGACGAAGCGCTGTTTCTGCAGCGGCTTGTTCTCCAGGCGCTGCAGGCCGTCGGAGAGGTGGGTGATCTCGATGACCCGGGGGTCATTGCTGTTCAAGCTGCTGATGGTCCGCTCCGAGGGGGCGATCGAAGGGCTGCCGCTCATCGTGGAGAATCTCTTGGAGGTGCGGGTCTATCTCGGTGTTAAGACGCAAGAAGCGGTTGAGTACGCGGGCAGGGGGGGAGCAGAAAAAGGAAATCTTACAGAGGCAGCCATGATCGGTCTTTCAGACTCCATCGAGGTATGACGGGCCATATTATTATCTTGCTGTGAGAAGTGGCCGTGGGAATTCTCGAATACGAGACAGTCCGGCTGCGGCGAAGCGGTATTCTGAAGGGACTGGGACTCGGGGGGTCAGAAATTTCACAGAACGTGTACAATGTGGAGGCTAGGAGACAAAGACACAAATAATATGGGGAATATAGGAGTAATTGGACCACAGTGGTGTAGAAAAGAATAAACCAGGGTAGATAGGAGCAGAGTGCAGTCGTGGGCCGGGTAGGTAGAGAGGGGAAAGACGCCGAGCAGGATGAAATCATAGGCCGGTTGGGACGGAAATCAGCTCACCTTTTTTAGCCGGGGCAGTTCCAACTTCCTGGACTGATGGCAGGCTGAAAATATCAAGATTGATGGACTGGGGGGATATTCTGCAGAAATATTCAAGGGAAGAAAAAAACGGATAGGTTGTGACTTGTGAGACCCCGTTAGCAGATATTCTCCTAGTGGAGTGGTGACAGGTGATTCAGGAGACAGTTGAAACCCCGGTGGGTCGCCACAACGTGGAATGGACAAAGATAAATAAGGCAAGGATTTAATTGAAATCTAGACTAAACCACTCCTCTTACTTTAGATCAATCCTTCAAGGATAATTATTTTATACTTACTTAATGCTATACGGAGTACTCATATATAATCGATCTTATTATAAGGCACAGATCTAGTTATAAGGGTAGGTGAAGTAACCTGCCTAGCAGGATGGATAGGTTATTTCATAGAGAATGCAGCTACCGACCGACCGGCAATTATTTTCAAAAGAAGACTTGAGAATAGGCACATGCTTCTGGAGGCAATCAGCGAGGCGCTAAACGATCTCTGAAGACGAGGTGGAGGTGAGGGACACGGACAATCTCTCCTTCAATCCATGGCAAGGAAAGATCCCATTGAGGTGCCACTCATGTTCTCTCCTTAGTATCCTGCCTTCCCATCCTCCTCAGCCAAGTCTTGAGATCGAAAGTTCCCTCTGTGAGATCGTGTGGATTCCCGGCAAACAGAAAGGCGTGTCCCAGATCATCGGCTGGCTTCTGGCCATCCGTATATTCAATCAGACAGGCTTTGAATGTGTAATTGTTCGTCTCGTACGCGGCCAACTTTTCTCCCGCCTTGACGGTCTGCACATTATACACAGCACCTTCGACGGTTCCCTCTTGCGGGCCATCCACCATGGCAGGATACTGGCCCCAGAGTTTGCAGGAATGCCCTACCACTTTCGCTGGCCGGAGTTTGGGTTCGTGGGCGAGATCAAGGATGTCGGCGAGCAGCTTCGGGTCCATCAACGTTCCATAAAAGAAGTACGGCCCTACGGGTGGATCAAAAGGGTCGACTAAAGGAGGCGTGTTCAATGACCTGTGATATAATTCTGGCGGTGCGTTTCTCAGCTTCAACACAAACGGCGAGATCTTCGATCGAAGATCCTTGGGAGCTGGAGCTGGAGGTGGAGGAGGAGGTGACGGTGGTGATGGCTCCGACATGGCAACAACCGAGAATTAGAATCTGTCAAAGGACAGATGGTGTAAAGAAGATGCGTTGAAAGCTTCTCGTTTCATCCTTCCTTGCAGACTGGGTGGTGTTTCCCACCTTCTGTCCACTTGGGCGTCATCCCAGTCCAGGTGGTGAGTGCTCTATCTACCCTTAACCTGGTCGCCACGTGCTGTCTGCAGGAACGCGAAGGATTTAATATGTAAATTTTATGAGTTATCACTAATATGAAATTAAGGTTCTCTTTGTTAGATAAGGCACTATTTTCAAGGCTTTAATTTATGTATTATGGACCTATAAAAGCCTATTCTATTGTAAGGATCAAGCTTAGGCACTAAGCCCCTTAAACCCGTATAACTAGTAGTTTGTAGTAGTTGGGGATAAGCCAGGGTCCTTACAGTAGTACTGTTGAATATAGTAGCACCCCATATAGTTATCTCCTAGGTATCTTATTCCAGCACCTAATTAAACTCTGGGTTTTAATAGTGTACCACCTAATATACATTAATTATATCTATATCAGTCTATCATCTTCAATTCTTTGATGAATGACGATGCTCTAAGCCTGCTGACTAATCCACACTAGCTACAACAGCAGTTTCCTCGAGAGAACTACAAAAAACACATGCCGCTGAATTGTATCAATCCAAGACGATAAGCCATTCTAAATAACGCCTTCCACCATGCCCCGACCCAAGTCCTTCCTCAAGGAATCAAAAAAGAAAAAGACGGCTCAACGGGTGTGTCCCCGGATCTCCTAGTCTAACATATACTCATTCTCATATATATCTAGACGCCTAGATCCGCCGATGAATTCCTAGCAGGTAGGTAGTCAATATTTCACCATTTATCTACCCTGTATCTACCCTGGACACTTCAAAGTTTTCTAACAAGTATATATAGCTGGCGTTGAGCTCGAAGAAGCTGGCGAGAAATGGCGCGCCGGCGACGCCACCAAGTCGATGCGTTTCTTCATGCGCGCAATTGCCCTGTACGATGAGGGGTTGCAGGCATTCCCGACTGCTTTTGATCTGGCTTACAACAAGTACGAACCATAAATCCAATCACCCTCGAAATAAATCATTTCAATCTTATTATATTGAGGTCTCTAACGGAGTAGAGCTCGCGTCCAATATGAAACAACCCAGCATCCCAAACTGGTCACGCAGCTGTCGGCGCCTCTGGCGGACGTACTGCGGATAACCCTGCAGTCACACCGGGATGCACTGGCCCTGGACCAGGACAACGCGGATGTTCTGTTCAATACCGCGCAGGTGCTGACTAGTCTGGCGGAGGCGACCACGGACACGAAACACCCCGCGGACGACCAACTCGCGCAAGCAATCCAGTTTCTACAGGAAGCCATTGAATTGTTCCAGCGGTGTCTGTTGCTGCAGGAGCTGCGGTACACCGAGTCACAGGAGCAGATCAGGTTGATGGAGGCTGAGATGAGCGGCCAGCTCCAGGAACAGGAACATAAACAAGAGCAAGAAATCGAACACGAAAATGAACAGGAACAGGAACAGGAACAGTGGGCCGCGATTGTCGAACCGGTGACCAAAAACACTCTGGTAGACACCGCTGTGGCACAACTCGAAACCCTGACCACGCTGTGCAATCTGCTCGTTTTTACCCCTGGCGTGGGGCTTGCGTGGGTCGAAGAGTACTCGACGGACCTGTACCGGGCCAAAATTGCGGCGTACGCGCAGGGTTCCGACAGAAATTATGAGGCGGCCGTAGCGCACGCCAAATTCACCTGCGCGCTCAGCGAGGTGCTCTACCGCAGCGGCCGGATCGAGATCGACACCTACCACCGGGAGATCGGCCGGGCGTTTGGTGCGGAGCTGGACCTGTCCGCCGACCCGGATGCGCTCTGTAGCAAAGGCGAGGCTTTGGCCTCGTTCAATACGGCGGTGGCTGACCTGCCTCCCGCACACGATGCGGACGCCCTCAGTAACTCCTTGGCGCTGCGCTGGCAGGCGTTATCGCTAGCGCTGGACGCCCTGACGGCTGCGACCAAGCTGCCTGACGTGGAGAACCTGCCCAAGATCCATATCGGCCGGGGTGACGCGGAATTGGGCCGCTGGAGACTAGGCGCCGAGCCCTGGAACTACTCGATGGCCAAGGAGAATGCTGCTGTGCTGCTCAAGAACGCACAGACATACTACCGCGGCGCTGCGGCCCTGGCGCGACGTGACGGGGCCGTCGAGGAAGAGAAAGAGGGAACATGCAAGGAGGCGATCGCTGCAGCGCTGGGACAGGACACCGCGAAGCTTGAACAGCTGAAGATGGGTGCGCCCCAGGAATTATCGGCCGTGGCCGAAGATATGATTGACGACGGCCTGGTCCCGCCGATCATCATGCAGGAGTTGTCGTGATCATGTTAAAAACATAATTCAAAACGCGTCGGGCTGTCCTGCTGTCCATCACTCAATCTTCCATAGCTTTTACCTCTGCATCCATATCCGCCGCCTCCTGCCGAAGGTGGTGTTGGTCGCTGAACTGCGCCGCCGCGGTGGCCGCATGGTCCAAATCCGCAACCACGGTCTCCAGATTCGAGAGCAAACCCTGTATCTCCATTCTCTGCGCCTGGATCCGGGCCGCAAGCTTCGTGTTTTCGTCCTGCGTAGTCTCCAACTTTGTATTAAGCTCTGCCTCCACCTCTTTGAAATATGGTATCAAGTGTGCTTGGTAAAGTTCCTCCGCACCAAGCGTATGCGGACTATCGAGGGTTAGAAAAGGAAGTAAAAAAAAATCGGATCTATCAGAAGGAGATTTCCACTCACGCAATCGCGTTCTGCGCATCATTCTCCTTCCTCAGCCTTGCCTCCCCGACTAACCGATCCAGCTCATTCAGCTGGCGCACTGCATCCCGCTCAGCAATGATATCCTGGAATTCCGCCGAGGCGCTTTCCTCCAGCTTCGCGTTCAGCTGCCGCCACACCGACTCCAGACTGGCGGGCACGTATGTCGCGGGCGTGGGGAAACAGCTGGAGAAATTGGCAAACGAGTTGGCGCGCAGAGTACGTTTGAGCGCCTGGTCGAATACTTGTTGCAGACGCGCCGCGCGTGGGCCGGGAGTCAGGGCAACGGGGGGGCGTGGCGGAGGTGAGGGGGAGGGTCCTCCTGGGTGGGCTTGAGATTCCGACATGGCGAGCTCTGCTTTCCTCGTTTGTGCTTCTTTGTTAGAAGGGAAGTATGTCTTGAAGATTGTTGTTGTGGGTGGATTAGAGAGACTTGGTACGCCGAGTCGAGATTCGAGAATGTGATGGTCACGTGATCGGATACAAATGATCTATTGGATTATAAATCTCGAGTAGTTTAGGCATTCCTAGTGATACTGGTAATAACTATCTTACTCTGTATCTGATGCAATCTGGTGTATTAATGCATAGTAAGATGGTTTCCGATTTACTCAACGCCACATGCTTGTAAAGCCAGAGTTCGAACATGAAAAGAAAAAAAGACAGAGAATTAAGAACAAAAAAAATCGTCGTTCACATAGCGTTTGTTTCTACCGGGTCCTGGACCTTAATACGCCTGTTGAGGGGCAGCCATACCGCCATACGCCCCGGCAGCCTGCTGTTGCTGCTGCTGTTGCTGCTGTTGCTGCAGCTGCAGCTGGGCCTGCACCTGGGGGATATCATGGAACCAAGGGTGCTGCAGCGCCTCTGCAGCGCCGATACGCATTTCTGGACGGAGTTGAAGCATGCGGTTCAGCAGATCGAGGCCCAAGGAGTCGATCTGCGGCAGGATGACGCCCAGGTCCTGGGTGGCGTAGACGTGGAAATTGGACTTGTACTCGGGTAGCTGGGAGATGCCCGGCCAGGACCGCTCGGAGGGGGTTCCCATGAGGCGGAAGATTTTCTGCAGCTGGTCCTCGTTGGTGGTGCCCGGGAACAAGGGGCGACCCGTGTACATCTCGGCCATGATGCAGCCGGCGGACCAGATGTCGATGCTAGTGCTGTAGGTGCGGCTGCCGAGCAGGACGTCTGGGGCACGGTACCACAGGGTGACGACCTCATTGGAGAAGGTGTTGACCGGAATGCCGAACGCGCGGGCGAGACCGAAATCGCCCAGCTTGAGCTGGCCCTTCTTGTTGATCAGCAAGTTCTGGGGCTTCAGGTCACGGTGCAGAACGCGGTTCTCGTGGCAGAAGGCGATCCCCTTGAGCAGCTGGTGCATAAACGACTTGATCGTTGCGTGGTCCAGCTGCCCGCGCTCGCTCCGCGAATCCATGTACTTCTTCAGATCCTTGTCCATGTACTCGAATACCAACATCAGCTTGTTCTCCGTGTGGATCACATCGTACAGCGACATGATGCTTTCATGCTTCAGCTCCTTCATCAATGAGATCTCGCGGATCGCCGTCGAGGGGGTTCCTTCTTCCGAGTCCAGATGGATCTCCTTCAGCGCAACCAGCTCGCCTGTCTGGCGATTCCGCCCTTTGAAAACCTATATACCGTTATTATCCATCCCACTTATCGTATTCGAATGATAATGTCGAGTGATAGTGTTTAATGATAGTGTCCAATGAAGTATTCAATGATAGTGTTCAAATGATTCTGGTTATGGTGGTAGTGAGGTGGTCTGACGTACCGTAGCATATGTACCTTCTCCAAGCTACACAATCAGTATATTTCGATAAAATCAATATTAAACGAGCACAATCCTCTCAGGGCAAAGAACACACCTTTTCCAGCTGCTGAAACGAGCTGGGCTGCTGTGCCTTGTCCATGGCCGGCAACCTGGAGGCGGCGGGAAACGTCGGTTTCGGGCGCTGGTGGAAAAGGAACGAGCCGGGAGCGACCAGGGCAGAGGCGATATTGAGATGAGACACAGCAGTGCTCAGTTGCGACACAGGCTTCGACGAGACGAGGGGGAGATTGCGAGTGTCCATGTCCGAGCAGGAGATGCCCTGGCGAAGGCCCAGCCCCGCGCCCGCTCCCGAGTGAAAAGCACAGGCACAGGCGGCTATCAGAGTTTCACTTTTTGGCCTTGACAATTTTAGAACAGTTGGATCTTACTGGGTGGTTCACACGAAATTGATATTTTGAGTCGTATATTCTTGTTATCTAGGATGATAAATATCAGATTTTACGCGATGCTACGATACATGAACGTGTACGTTGCGAGGTAGATCCGACGCAACAGATGGAAGGACCTCCTCGGATCGGAGGCTGCAGCGGACAAAACGGCTGGTCGAGTCATCCTGCGTTGTATGTCCCAGGAGGAGCGCTTCGTTGCGCACGCCGCCGACGTTGATGATCCCGATAGGCATGCCTCGCTTGTAGGCTCGTTCTACCAGTCGCCAGGCCGAGTAGGTGGCCAGGGTGCTACCGAGGACGAGGAGCCGCCCGGCCTCGTCGATCGCTTCTTCCCCGGCTAGCTTGACCGTAGGGTCAATATTCTCGCCGAACATGACGACCGCGGGCTTCAGCACGCCCGCCGTGGAGGTCGGGGCCCAAGCACCGTCGCTTTCCACTTCCACTCGCGCCAGGGTGCCGTCGCGCAGGGTCGGTGGGTGCTGGAGACAAGTTGGACATGGCGGATAGCGAAAAGTGGAATACGGCGCTTCTGCTAGATCCACGTCGCCGTCCGCGTTCAACTTGAAGCCTCTCCGCTGCTGCTCGTCGGTCTTGTCGGTGTCGAGGGCGCCCGACTCGACCATCCGGTCGAGAAAATCGGACCATGCGGGATTCAAAGCCCGTAAGGACGCCTGAAACTCGTCACGCGAAAATTGGCTTCGGCAGTGGATGCACACCACCGCGCGCAGGTAACCATGCAGCTCGAGCGTGTTCAGACCCGGGTGGGCGTGTGAATGGAGGGAGTCGACGTTCTGCGTGATCACCGAGCTGATGTACCCCTTGTTACCCAGATCTCTGATGGCCTGGTGCGTCGAGTTGGGCCTTGCCTTGGCATGACCAGGCCACCCGACAAAGCTCCGCGCCCAGTATCGTTTCCGAGACTCGTGCCGCCGTGTAAACTCATGGTAGTAGATCGGTCGGTATGACTGGTTGCGTCGGTAGGTGCCATGATCTCCTCGATAATCTGACAGGCCTGAAGCCACCGAGATGCCAGCGCCCGTCAACAGCACGGTCTGCGAGTTCCCACCCACATCGACTCCCCGGAGCTCTGGCGACGTCGGAGACGTGAAGAAGCTGGCCAGCGCCTCGATCGCGCCCTGGACTGTTCGAGCCGCGTGAGGCACGATTATCGGCGGGGGGAGGGGGGCCGTGAACGGAATCCGGATCGACGTCTTCGTCATCGATGCATGTCGAAAGACTTGTAGAAAAAGAAGCAGAGACAGAAGCACAGAGAGAAGTAGAAAAAGCCGGTGCAGATTAAGATAACAATGTAACTGGCTGCTCGCCGATCCTAGTCCTGCGATTTTGAGTAAGTTGGTAATAAGTATCGGCCAGTTCAAGAGATCAACCACAAACCAGTTTCACCAACTCGTATCTGCTTTTACTAATCTCAGACCCATGATTTGCAGAGCCTCTCGCACATTCCCTGACGCTCTCGGCCGCAACCTGCCCTCTTCCAATCTCCGTCAGTTACGAGTCGTGCCCTGCCCTGCAGTCGAGATGGTGGAGAAACGAAACCCGCCGGCTGCCGGTCAGCGCATCTCGGATCACTCACCAGCCGGATGGGAAGCGCAATCAAGCAACAGCATCAGGAACCACATTTTAGGAACGCCCCCTTCGTAGTTCTCTTCCCAGCTGTCTCAGAAATGGACACAACGGCCAGTTTTCTGGTCGCCAAGAAAACCACTCTGTCCTGAGCTCCTCGCCCGCCCGTCTTTCCCCCCCCCCCTCCCTCGCCCTGCTCGCATGCCCTGATGCCGCTGACGCAGCCCCTGCAGAGCAGGGCCCGGTGGTGCTCATCAGGAGCAACAGCAGCAGCAGGCCGCCTGACTCGTCAGGGAAACCCGCTCTTGTTCTCCCGATCAACAGCAGATTATCGTCGACGGGTGTATCGCAGCTTCTCGTCGCTCTCCACGCTACGTGCTGGCCGTTCGGTCCGTTGCCGTGGTCCTGCTCTTGTGTCCCCCTTTCGTGTCCTCCCCCATCACCAACCCCACGCCCCCCTGCTTCACCAGACCACGAGATTGCCAGCAACGATACTAAATTCGAGAATCATGGGCTCGCAGACTCGAGGTCACAGCGGTGGCCATGACCACGGTCATAGTCATGGTCATGGCCATCACCATCACCATCATGGAAATGTATACTTGACGTCGACGAACAAGGCGGACGCGGGTGTGCGGATCACGCGTATTGGCCTGCTGGCCAACTTCGCCATGGCCATAGGCAAGTTCATCGGGGGCTACGTGTTCCATTCGCAGGCGCTGATTGCCGACGCCTACCACGCGCTGATGGATCTGGTTTCGGATTTCTTAACGCTCGGAACGGTGTCGTGGTCGCTCAAACCCCCCTCGGAGCGGTTTCCATACGGGTATGGGAAAGTCGAGAGCATTGGTGCGTTGGGAGTCAGCAGCCTGTTACTCTGCGGCGGAGTCTTTATGGGCCTCAACTCTGGTCAGGTCTTGCTGGACCAGTTCTACCCGGAGGCGGCGGAGATTATGGCTCATTCGGGCCTCATTGGCCACGGCCATAGTCACAGTCATAGCCATGGGGCGGATATCTTAGGCCCAAGCATCCACGCTGCTTGGCTTGCAGCGGGGTCTATTGTCGTCAAGGAATGGTTGTACCATGCCAGTGAGTTATACTGTTTTACAACTCGGAGATGTTGGGATACATATTGACTTGCATTTTTTTTTCATAGCTATGAAAGTTGCAAATGAACGAAAATCCTCTGTCCTAGCCTCCAACGCCATCCACCACCGTATCGACTCGCTGACCAGTATTGTCGCCCTGGTGACCATCGGTGGGAGCTATGTCTTCCAGGACGCTTCGTGGCTAGACCCGGTCGGGGGCCTGCTGATCTCGCTGATGGTCATCAAGGCTGGATGGGGCAATACCGTCACGTCGCTGCTGGAGCTGGCGGACACAACGGTGGATGATGAAATCCGGTCGTCGGTACGCCAGGCGGCGGCCCAGGTGCTAGCCACGATCGACGACGGGGAACTGGTGGAGATCCGCGACATCCAGGGCATGAAGTCCGGCCAGAACTATCTGATGGAAGTGGAGCTGGCGATGCCCGGGGTATGGACGGTCAACCGGGCTCGCGATCTAGAGGAGTCAGTGCGGGAAGCCATCGGCACCACCGTCCGGGGCGTCAAGCGCGTCAAGATCCGCTTCGTGCCTCTCGACCGTGAGAACATGAAGTTTTCCGAAGAGTTCATCCCCGCCGACGTGAACCCACGCCAAAATCCAGAGCCGGGGGCCGAGTTGGATGACGGCTCCGAGACCCGTAAAGGGCGTTGATGGGTCGGAATTCTCACCATTGCATTGATGTAAATTTTATCCGATGTACAAGCAGGCATAACCCGATGCGTTTTAGACAGATATCCTACAAGGTTACAATAAGAAATTCGTTGGATGGTTACTGGACTTGCCATGAGAAGGTAGTTAATGACAGGCACCCATAAGTAAACCACCACACCATCCATCCATAAACCAACTCAACGTCCTATTTATTCCATCTACAGAGCAGCCAGTGCAAATATACTACAATATACTACTCTAAACCATGCACAAAGCATACTACATAACCCAGCTTCGACCCATCTAGACGATATTAACCGGTAAATTCCCGGGCGGGGCAGCAAGCACCTCCTGCATGCTTCTCTGACATCACAACCGAGTCACGGCAGAAGCACCCAAGAAGCAGAAGCAGACGCTACTTGGCGCAGGCGATGGGGAACCTGGAAGAAGAGGAGACCTCGTGACCCAGAGAGATAATGGACTCCTCTATCTTCACCTCACGATGGCTTCATTTTATCCCCATCTCCATCTCCCCCACGGCTGACAGAGTGGGTTGTCCTGTTGTGCCCGACTCCCTCCCTGTCCTAATTTTACCGAAAACAGGATAAATAAGTTTCCTTGGACATTGAAAAGTCAGAGCAGAGCGACAGCCGTCGAGCGATTATTATTTATCCTTTGACCTCTACTGTACTGTTGACTCCTGTGTTCACCCCTCCCTGCTCAAGGATTTCCGATCGACATGGATCCCCTGTATCTCGGGTTCGACCTTTCAACACAACAGCTCAAGGGTCTGGTCGTCACCTCGGAGTTGAAGGTGGTGCATGTCGCCAAGTTCGACCTGGACGCCGACTCACGCGGCTTCGCCGTTCACAAGGGCGTGCTCACCAACGAGGCCGAACACGAGGTGTTTGCCCCCGTGGCACTGTGGTTGCAGGCGCTGGATGGAGTGCTCGCCTCTCTCCGGGCGCAAGGCTTGGATTTCGCCCGGATCCGCGGCATCAGTGGTGCGGGACAGCAACACGGCAGCGTGTACTGGGGGGAGCGGGCGGAGACGCTGCTTTCTGGGCTAGACGCAGCAAAAACGCTCCAGGAGCAGTTGGGGGATGCGTTTTCTCACCCTTACAGCCCGAACTGGCAGGATGCCAGTACGCAGAAAGAGTGCGACGAGTTCGATGCCTTCCTGGGGGATGCGGAGACGTTGGCAGCCGCCACGGGGAGCAAAGCTCATCATGTATGTTTTTTTCTATCGGTTATTGTTTGTCTTTGTGTTTGTGTTGACGATCTATAGAGATTCACCGGGCCGCAAATTCTTCGATTCCAGAAGAAATATCCGGAAGTATACAAGAAAACGGCGCGGATTTCGCTGGTGTCTTCATTCCTAGCTTCGTTGTTCTTAGGCCGGGTCGCTGCGCTGGACATCTCGGACGTGTGCGGGATGAATTTGTGGAATATTGAAAAGGGCGCTTTCGACGACCGACTGCTACGGCTCGCGGCCGGCCCGTTTGGCGTGGAAGACCTCAAGCGCAAGCTCGGGGATGTCCCCGAGGACGGTGGTGAGCACCTGGGCAAGGTCAATCGCTACTTTGTTGAGCGGTACGGGTTCCACCAGGAGTGTACCGTTATCACGTCCACGGGTGACAACCCGGCGACCATCTTGGCCTTGCCACTGAGACCATCAGATGCGATGGTCTCTCTGGGCACATCTACCACCTTCCTGATGTCGACCCCGAACTACAAGCCAGACCCGGCCACGCACTTCTTCAACCACCCGACGACCCCAGGCTTGTACATGTTCATGCTGTGCTACAAGAACGGGGGCCTTGCGCGAGAGCAAGTGCGCGACGAGATCAACAAGCAGTCCGGCGAGCAGAACGAGGCTGCCGGGTCGTCGTGGGCCAAGTTCGATGAGATCACTTTGAAAACGCCCGCAATGGGACAGGCCGCCGACTCCGATCCCATGAAGATGGGCCTCTTCTTCCCCCGACCGGAGATTGTCCCCAACCTCCAAGCGGGCCAGTGGCGGTTCACCTACAACCCAGCCGACGGCCGCCTGACCGAGACCGACAAGGGCTGGACCAAACCGGACGACGAAGCGCGCGCCATTGTCGAGAGCCAACTGCTGTCTCTGCGGCTGCGGTCGCACGGCCTGACCACGAGTCCCGGGGCGGGGATCCCCGCCCAGCCACGACGCGTGTACCTCGTTGGTGGAGGGTCGAAGAACAAGGCCATTGCCAAAGTTGCCGGCGAGATCCTCGGCGGCAGCGAGGGCGTGTACAAACTGGACGTGGGCGACAACGCGTGCGCACTGGGCGCCGCCTACAAGGCTGTGTGGAGTCTCGAGCGCCGTCCAGGCCAGACCTTTGAGGATCTGATCGGCTCGCGCTGGAAGGAGGAGGATTTCATCGAGAAGATCGCCGACGGGTACCAACCTGCTGCTTTTGAGAAGTATGGCCGTGCGGTCGAGGGGTTCGAGAAGATGGAGCACACCATTTTGAACGAGGCAAAGAGTACTACCTAGGTACATCTTATAACTACTGTCCAATCCTTTCAAAAAAGACCACTACATCTATGGCCTGGTTGCCTGAATCATGAACCCTTATTGCATCTCTACCTAGGTACAGTACAGTGCTGTAGTCCCTCTCGCCACCAGACCATATCAACTCAATTGAGGAGGTCCCCCTGTTATCATGCTCTTATCACCATCCATCCGTGAGAGTATGAAGAAGAAACTTCAGTCTGTAGTTCATGGCTTCCTTCCCCAGAGACCTTTGATCCGGTTCTTGATCTTATCTCTTCCAGCCTTCCAACCACTACGCTTCGGCACCTGCGTTGACTTGTCCCAAGGCACCCGAGACAACTCGTCCCTGGGCACTCGAGGTGATTCATCGTTGTAAAGTTCAATCTCGTCACTGAAGCGGACTTTCTTCTTGGGCTTGAGGGTTGGGGCTTGCTCGAGGTTAATTTCAGGGTTGTTATCTGACTCCAGCTCAGGTCCAAGCACAGGCATAGGCTCAGGCTCAGGCTCAGTAGTAGAAAATTCCGTTGTGGACTCATAAGTAGGGGGAATAGGGGGCAGCGGCTTTGGACCAGACGGCGGCGCTGGGGGATGCCAGACCCGTGTACCCAAGTTACGCACGACGTCAGCCCTTGCGACCAACCTGTTTGAATTGCTGGGGTCTGCGCGCGCCTGGATTTTAGGGTCCTCTAGAACGGCATTCAGGCTGACCCACGACATCTGGACAAGGTACGGACGACAGTAGTGACAGACGCGATGGTGACATGGTTCGGCGTTCGACGTTCCCCTGCGAAGTCGGGCAGGGGTCATGCGGAGGAAGTGCTGGGCAGTAGCATCTGAATGGCAATCTGCATACATGTCACCAAGACCCACGGCCATCCTATGGTTGTAGTAAGGCGCTATGAGCTTCTGACGGCGAGCATCACAGGCGGCTTCGAGCACGTCGTGTTTGGCGACGAATAGCTGGATTTTCTGTTCCTCGGTATACTCGCCTGCTTCGATGGCTCGGAGAACCCGAGGAGACAAGAATTCGCAGTCTGGCTTGGCCAGCAGGTCAGTCTCATCCTCTGTGCAGGCATACAAATAGCCGAGAGGCGGGAATCGCTTGCATTCAGGGCAGACGTCTGATGCGCCGAGACAGCGTTGACGAGTCACGGTGCTGTGCGAACAAGCGATATAGCTGGGAGTTGGCCGGACTGGCTCTGCTTCGTACACGTCTTCAATATCTTCCCACTCGCCTTCCTCGGTTTGCTCTTCGCATCCCCCGTGAGATTCCCCCGAAGGAATAGAAGAGGTATTCTCTTGACTAGGAGGGGTTGGAAGCGGGCGAGGATAACGAGTCGGTGGAATCGTGAGCTTTGTATTCTCCTGGATAGTCGGTAAGCCAGCGAAGCGAGAGTACTGGCTCGGAGACTGCTCGAAAACCACGTTGGTGATTTGGTCTTCGGGGTCTGCGTGCTGGTTCTCCTGCTCCGGCTCGGAGCCTTCCTCGACAGAACCCTCCATGCCAGGATGAGGTGCGAAAAAAAAAGAAGGACAAAGAAATGACAAAGGCGAGTTGTGAGATGGATGAAACTGAAGTGTTTCTCAGGAAACACTTGAGGGGAAGTCCCCTGTGTGATGAGTTTGCTCATCTTCATCGAGGTGGTGAGCCTTAGTGAGTGCACAGTACAACAAACATAGGTAAGTCAGGTAGAAAATTGAACATTATTATAATAAAGAGTCCTGGTAGAGAGCTTTAAAGTATATTATAACACCTGCATAGTTATATTCTTTAGAGTAAGTTCCTATAACTGTAAGTAATAAGTAGTATATCAGTTTAAACACCACAGAGATGAGTTATATAGAACTCGACTCTCTGTTTAGTCTGTCGCATATAATTCTGAGCTCGTCCATACCATAGAGATGTAGATCTCAAAGCATACCTAGGTAGATACCTAGGTACTAGGCAGGGTCTGCGCTCTGTGGTGTTGTCTCTACTCAAGCTTCTAGTATCCTCTTCAGCTCAACCCCAGGAACGAGGTATTAATGTAGCATCTCACGGATTCAACTCGAAAGGGCGAGCGAGCATAACTTCTAGGCCTTTTCTCGGTCTCTTCCATTCCAGAGGATTGTCCGACGATCTGAAAATAAACCGTAGGTCCATGTGGCAGACAAACTCGAAGCGTGCGTTATCTCATCTGTCTCCATGTGCCAGTCAGCCAGCCGTCTAGAACACAATCAAATATGACAGCAACCAAACCAATAAGCACAAGATACCTAGATACTATGACACTCGTCTATGACTCAGTCCGTGTGGGTATTTCTTCAGCTGTCGCCTTGTCTTGCCTCGTCTCTGGCTAGCGACCGTCGGAGGTTTCCGTCACTCCCGCCGGCGCATCTCCTCAGGGCGCCCAAAACAGCCCGGCTGAGCGACCTCATCTTCATTCCAGCCCCCCCTCGCACGGTCTCCACTTATCATCTCCTCGCAGCCGTGTTGACTCGGCCCTCGAACTTTTCGGAAGAGTTCTCCAGGCCTTGCCTTGCGTGGCTCTTAAACTTTGCGTCGGACTCGGTAACTCGGTAAGCTGGCCTGGTCCTGTTGATTACGAGCAACTTCAGCCAAG